CGCTCAGCGCGTCACCTCCGGACGTGGATTCTCTAAAGCTTGCGCCACACCCGCCGACCCCTTGGCTTGTTTCGGGGCACGGGTCTTGCGGGGCCTGGTCCAGACAGACCTTCTACGGGACGACGACGGGAGTCCTGCAACAAGCGAGCGGATGTTTGTGGTGCTGGCCTCGTGGGCTCCCCGCTGTCTCCTGAAACGCGCAAGCTTCGACGTGGCGGTCGGCGCGAGAGGGGGGGGGGTGAGGCAAACCGTGCCCGCTAGGAGACCCCAAGGGGTTGGCGGATCTCGGGCCAGAGGCCGCGCATCTGGGTGCCTTGATGCGCTTCCTGGTGTCGTCGTTGCGTGTTTTGGTGTTTGCCACAGCGCCATCCCCCAGAGGATAGGAGGTCGTCCGCGAGGCTCATTCTTCAGCCGGAGTCGATGTTTGACGGTCGGCAGGCCCGCCACATGTCTTAGGGGTTTTGTTGGGGGTTCGTGGGGTTTCTAGAGACCATTTGGGGGCGTCTAGGGGCTTTGTGGGGAGCCTCCGGGGCCGACATGGAACGATATTGACTGCCTCTCGGGCTGTCTTCGACGCAAAAGGCGAATGTGCTAAAATGAACAATTATCCGACGCAGTGTGTCAAGTGTTGCATATTGAGGGGGTCTTGAGGGGGCCTCTTGGGGCTCGTTTGGACAGTCTTGAGGTGATGTTGGACTCTCTTGAGGCCTCTCGGGGTCGTTTCGGGTTATATTGTGGCCTGCAATATATATATATATATATATATATAGGGATCCAGACTCTTGGACCCTCTTCGGAGATCCCTTGGGATCTTTTGGGGGCGCTCCTGGGGCGATCTCGAGGGCTTGGAGGACCGCCCCCGTTGAGTTCTAAAAATTCTTTGGGGCGGCTGCGCCCGGGATCTTTCTCGGGCGCGGAGTCCTGCGGGCCGCCCCGCGCGCGCCAGGAAGGTGCAACGTTCCCCTGCCACCGGAGATTTTGTGGCACGCGCCTGGCCCGTGCGGCCAGCGTGCAAAAGCTCCACATCGGTGGATACTCCCGCGGCGACACGTAAAGACGAAACTGTTAACTTCTTGTTAGGATTCGTCGTGCGTCTTCCGTCTTTCTAACTATCAACGTTCGGTTGGGTTGGTTCGTCTTCTTGTGGATTCGTCCCAGCTTGCGGTCTCAGGATCTTCGTCTTCTTGGAGGTTGGTTCGTCTTCTTGTGGATTCTTGGGCTGTATCAGAAGCAGTCTCCAGTTTGCGCTGCGGCTCCTGACAAATCCTCGTGTTGCGTCGATCGACCCCATCTCTGCCCACTCGCCTTCCTCCCCATACCCCTTCTCTCCTTTTATTCTTCCCAAAGGGAAGAGCCGCGGGCTCACCAGCGCTGAAACCGCGACCCAGCGTCTCGGGGGGTGGCACTGGTGGCTTGTTTCTTTATGTAGAATGCGCTTCCAGGATTCAGGGGTCCGCCAATCATTTTTGAATGGCCTTTGGTACTGGCGGGTCGTTGGTGGATGCATTTCTTCCTTCCGCTCCTGCTTCTCCGTCCTCCTCCGTTCCCTCCTGCTTCTCGCTCCTTCTCCTGCTCCTCCCTCCCGTCCTCACACCGTCTCCCGCACAGGGAGGGGGCGAGTGTCGGTGTCGTTGTGAATCAAGTTCCTGAAGTGCAAGTCCTGTGAAGAATGAGATCCGTTCGGGTGACCATTGGGGAGAGCCTCGGCGATGGCGGCGCAAGTGCCGAAGTCCGTGGAATGGGGGCCAGGGCGGGAGAGAACGAGGAGGAGAACGAGTACTAAGAGAATGAGAGGGCGAGGAATATGATAATGAGAATGCTGAGGAGGAGGAGGAGGAGGAGGAAGAGGAAGAGGCGGAGGAGGAGGATGAGGAGGAGGAGGAGGAGGAGGGGGCGAGGAGGAGGAGGAGGAGGACGAGGAGGACCAATGTTGGAACGATGTTGGAATAAAACCCTACCTCCACGCTCCCTCTTCACAGGCCCCTACAAGGGTTCATTTCCATGAAGGGAATTGCCCCGTTGGGAGACAGCTGTTTGAAGACCCTGAAGCGAGACCTCAACACCTCGAATCAACGTAATTGCTGCGCCCTCGCAGTCCCAAAAACCATCTCTTGTATGTTGACCATCGGAATCAGTGAATCGGCTGTTTTTGGACAAACAAAGATTTCGCCGCTGCGAAATTTTGGCCAGAATACAGCGCCTCCCGTTAGGCGACGGGGCCCCTGTACAACATTGTCAGTGGCGCTGCGCCTGCGACAACAGAGGAGACGTCAAAGGGGCCCGTGAGGCAGCGGGCCACTTGCACAATGTTTTTTGCAAACTCTGTGTTGCTCAAGTCTCTGGTGGACGCGCCCTTTCGAATTCGACCCTGATGGTTTCGAAATTCAGCCGATATAGTTGTTGAAGGAAGTCTTGGGCAGGAGCGCCATTGCGAAATCGAGCCCGGAAGTTTCGAAGTCGAACCCGGAAGTTCGGAGGAAGTCTCAACGTCAGAGATTCAAAGTTTCGAATGCCAAACGGTGTGGCCATCTCAAAACGACGGTTTCGTTCGTGGTTTCCTCTTGATTCCCTTGAGCGAGTTCAAATATTTCCGGTTCGATTTCGAAATGCGCTCCCGCCCAAGACTTTCTCCAAACTAAAATTCAAAACCCTTCTGGCTCGATTTCGAAATGAGCTCCCACCCAGTACTTCCTCGACACAAGAAGTCGGCACTTCTTCAGCTTGATCTCGAAAAGGCGCTCCCGCCCGGGATCTCCTCCGAAACAGAATTCGGAGCCTTTCGCGTTCGATTTCGAAGTGGCTGTCCCGCCCAGGACTTCCTGAAGACTGGAATTCGAAACCCTTCTGGTTCGATTTCGATGTGGCGCTCCCGCCCAGCACTTCCTCGACACAAGAAATCTGCACTTCTTCGGCTTGATTTCGAAAGGGCGCTCCCGCCCGGGATTTCCACCGAATTCGGAGCCTGTCGGGTTCGATTTCGAAGTGGCGCTCCCGCCAAGGACTTCGTGATTGACTGGAATTCGGAACCCTTCTGGATCGATTTCGAGATGGCGCTCCCGCCCAGTACTCCCTCGACAAAAGAAGTCGGCAGGGCGCTCCTGCCAGGGATTTTCTCCAAAACAGAATTCGGAGCCTTTCGGGCTCCACGTCAACATGGCTTTCCCGCGCAAGACTTCCTTCAATCTAGAATTGAAGCCCTTCTGGTTCGATTTCGAAATGGCGCTCCCGTCCAGGATTTCCTCCTAAGCAAAATGCAAAATCTGTCGGACTCGACTTCGAAATGATGCACCCGCCCGAGACGTCCTCCAAACCAGAATTGGACATCCTTGTGATTGGATTTCGAATCGGCGCTCCCGCCCACGACTTCCTCCAAGCCAGACCTCGAGCCTTTCGCCATCGACTTCGGAATGGCGCTGCCGCCAGGGACTTCCTCCAGAACAGGTTCCGAACTTTTTTTTTCTTGCTCGACTTCGGAGTGGCGCTCCCGCCCAGGAGTTCTTCCAATACCCAGGTCGGAGCCTAGCCGGTGCAGGATCTTACCAGCCTGGAACATATCCCTACCCCTATGTTGGGCATCTCCTCATCACGATGCCAATCTTAGGGATTCCCTTATCTGTTAAGGGCGCATCCTTAAGATTGTCGTCGCCTTTGGCGTGTCAATCTTAGGGATAGGGATAAGGTGGAGGCTGGTAAGGATCGAGGCTCCGTGTTTCCCCCACGAGGTCTGCCCCCGAGCAGGCCGCCCACAGGGGCGTGAAGACGTTCTCCCTCGCTGCACCATCGGACGCGCCTGTGCGGCGGAGTGGGTGTTTCTTCCAGCGGACAGGTTCGACTACACGTAAGAGTGACCCTTCGCCGGAATGACCTTTGGTGCGGGCTCATCGGGCCCCCCCCGATCGCTCAACGCGATGCGATATCAGCGTCCTGTGCGATCAGGTTTGGCCCCCCCGCGGAACCCCCTGAAGCCGCGCACCAAAGGTCGTGCGTGTCGTAAGCCTGTGTTCAACGCTTACGTGTTTGAATGTGGTTGCAGATGCATGTGCATTCATACTTGCTGATGCTGGCACTACGCAGTAAGTTAGGTTTGCCGTCTTCCATTGCACTTGTGGTGTTACGTTCACGGGAAGCGTGAACGGGAACAGTTGGTACTAGAGCTCACGGTGGCATGCTGTGCAATCGTCATGCATGGGTGGTGCCAGCACGACGTGCCCTGCCATGAACATCGCGTCGGAGACAGGACCACAGTCACGAGATTCCGTTGGAGATACGCATGATTGATTCGAATATCAGTTACCCCAGAGGAAAGCCCCAATCAGTGGATAGTTTGAAATGGGATCGATAAAGAGATCGATAAGCAGATCGACCTGGAACCCGGGAATCCGGGAGCCCGGAACCCACCGAAATCGGCCCGGAACCAATGACCAGGAACCCGGGAACCCGGGAACCCAGCCGGCCACCAACATCGGCGGGATACGGTCGCCAAATCATTCAATTTTTGTTATAGGACCCCTTCAGTGCAAGCACTGATTGGGGAGTGTAAACAAACTCCGTTCGCAAAGACTTCCAAAGGCTCGTGCGGATTCCTTTGATCGCCGCTGCTCGCTTCTGCCGGCGCGCGGAGCGGCGCCGGAGGCGCCGCCAGCGGGGCCAGCCTTGGTCCAATATATATATATATATATATATATATATATATATCCGCGCGGACTTTTGAAAGTTTATGTTTGTGCAGATGTTTGTTTTGGGGACGGCAAAAAGGGGGTGATGACTAGGGGGGGACATCATTGCGGGGGCCATGATATCTTCCCAGATTTCATGGCGCCTCGTCTTGTTTCAGTAACGTCCCCGCCTCCCCTTTGGGCCGCGCACGTGCCGCCAGCCATGATTTGCCCCCCCCCGCCCCCCCCTCTTGGACGCCCCTCTCTTGGCCGCCCCCGATCATCGAGGATGCGCATGGGTGACGATTCGCATGGGTGACCCTCCCGTGTCCCACCGTGTGCGAGGCATGGGCGGCAAGGGCGGCCAGGCAGCCATGGAGGCCTGGGTGTACCGGCAGGTCCCTCGCGCGCTCTCAGGGTAACGGAGGGACAGACGCGGGGAGCCGGATCCAGGGCCATTTCGCTGCTTGCGGAGGTTCCAGAAATTCTAGACGCCTCGCGTACCCCCACCAGCCCATCCAGAAAGGATGTCCAGGCGAGTTGAGGTGATCAGGAAAATGCAGGAGCAAGAGGTGGACGGCCGAACCGTGCGAAGGAGGGAGGAGGAGAAGGAGGAGGCTGGATGGATGGATGAGGGAGTGGGGAGAAGGAAGATGAATCTCATGATGATGATGATGATGATGATGATGATGATGATGATGATGATGATGATGATGATGATGATGATGATGAGGAGGAGGAGGAGGAGGAGGAGGAGGAGGAGGAGGAGGAAGAGAAGGAGTAGGATGAGGACGGAGGAGCGGGAGGAGGAGGGCAAGCAAAAGGGCCAGAGGTCTTTTGGATGCCTCTCGGAGCCTCTGGTGATATCTCTTGGGCGCTTCTTGGAGGCCTCTTGGGACGTCTTGGGGGTCTCTCGGCGGTACTGGGGAGCTCTTAGGCGTCTTGGGTGCCTCGGGGGGGCCTCTTGGGGTTGCCTGGGGTCCTCTTGGGGGCCTCCTGGAGTCCTCTTGGGGCCATCTTGGAGCCATCTTGGAGCCATCTTGGGGCCATTTTGGGGCCTCTTGGGGCCTCCGGGGCGCCTCTTGGGGCCATCCTGGAGGAGATCGATCAAAGAAGGGGGGAGCTTTAATTAGCCTCCCCCCCTCGGGAGCCCCAAAAATCACCTCTTGGGTCCCTCTTGGAGCGCTCATGGAGCGCTCTTGAGCGCTCTTGGGGCCGTCTTGGGGCCCTTCTGGGGTCTCTCCTGTGGTTTTTGAAGGATTTTGGCTTCTTGGCGGCCTCCTGGGGAGGATCCGTTGCCGCTCGGAGCCGTCTTGAACCGGTCTTGGGGCCTCTTGGAGCATCGTGGGAGCCATCTTGACGCATCATGGGATATCTTGGGCGATCTTGGAGGTCGTCTTGTGCTCTCTGAGGCCCTCTTGGAGCCATCTTGGGCCATCTTGGACGCCCCAACGACCCGCGGAACGCCCCGTCCAGGTCCAGGGGAGGGGGAAAGGGGGAGGGGCAAACCCTTCCCCGAAGGGGAAGAGGGAGGGGCGGAAGAGGAGACGCCCTAAACCACCTACGCCCAGAAGGCTGGTGGGATCGAGGAGCAAACATCTGCGCATTTCTTGGATCGGCGCTGGACGCCCCTGGCGCTAAGTCCGGCCTGTCCCTCTACAGGAGGACGATTCAAAACATATTCAAGAAATAGTTTGGGAACGATTCCTCTATAATGGTTGACCATTGCTTGGCATTTATGAGGTATTCTTTTATTTCCCAATCCTCCTACGGTTGGGTACTCGTTTTGAATAGAGCAGTGTGGTCGCCCCGTCCTCCTCCTCCTCCTCCTCCCCTCTCCTCCCCTCCTCCTCTCCCGTTTCCTGTGTTCCCCTCTCCTCTTCTCTCGTGCCGTCGGGCTTGCGATCTGCGCAATTGTCGCCATTTTCGTGGGCTCCTGGGACGCCCAGCGGAGGTGGGTCCCACGCGGATCACCTCGGTAGCTCGCCGCCCCCTGGGGGGCTTGCGATCTGCGCAATTGTCGCCACTTTCGTGGGCTCCTGGGAGGCCCAGCGGAGGTGGGTCCCACGCGGATCACCTCGGTAGCTCGCCGCCCCCTGAGGGGCTTGCGATCTGCGCATTTGTCGCCACTTTCGTGGGCTCCTGGGAGGCCTGAGGTGGGTCCCACGCGGATCACCTCGGTAGTTCGCCGCCCCCTGGGGGGCTTGCGATCTGCGCAGTTGTCGCCACTTCCGTGGGCTCCTGGGACGCCCAGCGGAGGTGGGTCCCACGCGGATCACCTCGGTAGCTCGCCGCCCCCTGGGGGGCTTGCGATCTGCGCAATTGTCGCCACTTTCGTGGGCTCCAGGGAGGCCCAGCGGAGGGGTCCCACGCGGATCATCTCGGTCGCCGCCCCTTAGGGGCTTGCGATCTGCGCTTCTTTCGTGGGCTCCTGGGAGGCCCAGCGGAGGTGGGTCCCACGCGGATCACCTCGGGACCTCGCCGCCCCTTGGGGGGCTTGCGATCTGCGCAATTGTCGCCACTTTCGTGGGCTCCTGGGAGGCCCAGCGGAGGTGAGTCCCACGCGGATCACCTCGGTACCTCGCCGCCCCCTTGTGGGGGCTTGCGATCTGCGCAATTGTCGCCACTTTCGTGGGCTCCTGGGAGGCCCAGCGGAGGTGGGTCCCACGCGGATCACCTCGGTAGCTCGCCGCCCCTTGGGGGCTGCGATCTGCGCAATAGTCGCCACTTCCGTAGGCTCCTGGGACGCCCAGCGGAGGTGGGTCCCACGCGGATCACCTCGGTAGCTCGCCGCCCCCTGAGGGGCTTGCGATCTGCGCAATTTTCGCCACTTTCGCGGGCTCCTGGGAGGCCCAGCGGAGGTGGGTCCCACGCGGATCACCTCGGTAGCTCGCCGCCCCTTGGGGGGCTTGCGATCTGCGCAATTGTCGCCACTTTCGTGGGCTCCTGGGAGGCCCAGCGGAGGTAGGTCCCACGCGGAGCACCTCGGTAGCTCGCCGCTCCCTGGGTGGCTTACGACCTGCGCAACTGTCGCCACTTTCGTGGGCTCCTGGGAGGCCCAGCGGAGGTACGTCCCACGCGGATCATCTCGGGACCTCGCGGTGCCTTGGGGGCTTGCGATCTGCGCAATTGTCGCCATTTTCGTGGGCTCCTGGGAGGCCCAGCGGAGGTACATCCCACGCGGATCACCTCGGGACTTCGCGGTGCCTTGGGGGCTGCGATCTGCGCAATTGTCGCCACTTTCGTGGGCTCCTGGGAGGCCCAGCGGAGGTACGACCCACGCTGATCACCTCGAGACCTCGCCGCCCCCTGGGGGGCTTGCGATCTGCGCAATTGTCGCCACTTTCGTGGGCTCCTGGGACGCCCAGCGGAGGTGGGTCCCACGCGGAACACCTCGAGACCTCGCGGTGCCCTGGGGGCTGCGATCTGGCAATGGTCCGCCACTTTCGTGGGCTCGCTGGGAGGCCCAGCGGAGTACGTCCCACAAGCGGATCACCTCGGTACCTCGCCGCCCCTCCTGGGGGGCTTGCGATCTGCGCAGCTGTCGCCACTTTCGTGGGCTCCTGGGAGGCCCAGCGGAGGTACGTCCCACGCGGATCACCTGGGGACCTCGCCGCCCCTTGGGGGGCTTGCGATCTGCGCAACTGTCGCCACTTTCGTGGGCTCCTGGGAGGCCCAGCGGAGGTACGTCCCACGCGGATCACCACTAGTTCGCGGTGCCCTGGGGGGCTGCGATCTGCGAAATTGTCGCCTCTGTCGTGGGCTCCTGGGAGCCCAGCGGAGGTACGTCCCATGCGGATCACCTCGGGACCTCGCGGTGCCCTGGGGGCTGCGATCTGCGCAATGGTCGCCACTTTCGTGGGCTCCTGGGAGGCCCAGCGGAGGTACGTCCCACGCGGATCACCTCGAGACCTCGCGGTGCCCTGGGGTCTGCGATCTGCGCAATTGTCGCCATTTTCGTGGGCTCCTGGGAGGCCCAGCGGAGGTACGTCCCACGCGGATCACCTCGGAACCTCGCGGTGCCCTGGGGGCTGCGATCTGCGCAATTGTCGCCGCTTTCGTGGGCTCCTGGGAGGCCCAGCGGAGGTACGTCCCACGCGGATCACCACGGGACTTCTTGCTGCGCTCTTCTGAAAGCATTGCTGGGTGTTCTTTCTGCGCACTGCGGGTCCTTCAGAATGCCAGTCAGCATTGAGGGGTCCTGAGTAGAATCGCCTCGTGTATAGAAAGGGTTGGGTACGTCACAGGGTAAGTTTCGTCCAAAACCCGCCTGTAGGGGGACATTCCCGACCTAACCTTGGCGGCACCTCCGCCCCGCGCGTCAGGGAGGGAGGCACAGAGGCCGAACCAAGAGATCCGCCCAGAGCTTCGAGAGTGAATGGGTCCGCCGTGTGCTGTCCCTCGAAAGTAGACGCCAGACGGGGCCACGCGAGCAGCCACGAACTTACGGGGGAGGAAGGAGGGAGGAAGGGAGGAGCACGAGGAAGAGCAGGAGGAGGAGGAGGAGGAGGAGGAGGAGGAGGAGGAGAAGGAGGAGGAGGAGGAGGAGGAGGAGGAAGGGGAGGAGGAGGGAGAGGAGGAGGAGGAGGACGAGAGAGCCGGAAGAGGAGGATGGGCAGGATGGCCAGGATGGCGAGTCGCACTGGCCACGGTGGACTTCTGCGGAGCGGGGCTCCGCGGAGGGCTCCGAGAGGCCCCCGGACTCTCTCGAGAGAGAGGTCTTCTGTGCCTCCTCCGGAGCTGCACGCGGCTTCCGAGAAGCACTGCCCCCTCGCACTTCCTCCCAGGACGCTGACAGACTGGGGGGCCACATGCGAACCCTACCCCTACCCCCCACGATTTCTGAGGGGGAGGGTGGGGTTCACTTCGCTCGGGACCTCCCGAACGAAGTGAACCACACCCTCCCCCCCCAGAAATCGTGGGGGTAGGGGTAGGGTTCGCATGTGCCCCCCTAAAGACGAGGACCCAGGATTAGGATGAGCTGGGGTGAGCTCTGGCTTGGATCTGGGACTTCGGATGAGGACTCAGGACTTAGGTCTGGACTTGGGACTCGGGATCGAAGGCTCGCTGTGGGCTTAGAGTGGGCTCTGGTCTGGGGGCCGCTCCTCAGACCCACGTTGCGGAGCCTGGGCCGCTCGTGGGCCGCTCTTGGGGCCGTCCGGGGGTACCTTGGGCTCCTCTTGGGCCTCCATTGGGCCATCTTGGTTCATCCCGAGGCCTCAAAATGCGCCCCGGAAGCGAAACGGCGAGAAGGCCAAACTCATGTTTTTTTTCCGTCGGCGTTTGAAGGATTTGGGCTTCCTGGGGGGGGTCCTGAAACCGTGTTATGGCCCTCGTGGGGCCTCATGGGGGTATGCCTGAAGCTATCTCGTACCATCGTCTGCCATCTCGAGTCATC